GGGGGGGGGTGTCATTTAAGGGACTAGACTTGGCTCTCTCCCAACTGGGTCTGTAAGCCACAGAAGGGCAGCAGCCCCCTGTGGGCTGAGAGGGGGTCATTTTCTCTGGTCAGTCAAGCTCTGAAGTGGGATTTAGCCCTGCTGCTCCCTGGCGGGACCCCCACTGCCATGCCCCCCCTGCTTGCCCGTCTACCAACACTCGCCTTTGGGGACTCAGCTGGGCCCCACCCTTTCCCCCCTGGACCCTGCTGCCCTCCACAGGGCCTGAAGTCCCCTGTGGAGGTGCGTGTCCCGCTGCCCCACAGTGGGGCTGCTGTGTGTGTCTTCCATCAAGCCAGGGACCATGTCTTACCATCTCCCTGTGCTCCCGCCGGGCCCAGGGGCAGCACAGTGGTGGTCAGCCGGGTTGGAGGAAAGAAAACAGGAACCTGACTGGAGTCCCCGTGGGCCTCTTCCTCATGGCCACAGACCAGGCCACCCCTCCCCGGCCAGGGGAGGAGTCTCCCTGCCTGGCTCACCTGAACCCAGCTGGGTTTCACAGGCCTTTGGGCCCGAAGCCCAGTTCTCCTCACCTTCCTCTTGCCCCTTCTTGGGGGGATTTCTTCACAGCCCTGCCTGCGCCGTCCTGATTTTGTCAGCCTAGGCAAGGCCTGCTTGGATCTGTTGGGACATACACAGGACAGGATGGAGCTCTTTCCTGTAAACAGGGCCAGGTTCCGCTCCCCCAGGTTGCCCCACGTCCCACAGTCTGATTACAGGCTCTGCCTCCTGTCTCGTCCCGCCCCCCAACATGCTTACCCAATTCCCGACATCCTCTTCTGCTAGGGCAACCCAGCCTGGCTCCCCCTCTCCCCGAACCTCCCACAGCTGTCTGTCTAGAGGAGCATCCCTGGGGGTGACAGTTCATGGCCTTGCAGGTCAGCCTGCTCCCCTGACGAGCATGCGATCCTGGGAGGAGGTCACGGCTCCTGTCTGCCTTGAGTCTCACTCACTGGATCTAGAGACTGTTTTTTTTTAATCTCTGGATGAACAAAGCTGTCCCTACAGGGGATGTACCCATAAGAAGGAGCTTGAGTAACTCCCCGTGCCTCAGTTTCCTCATCTGTCACATAGGAATCATTGTATCTGTAACACTCACTTTACAGGGTTATCCAGTGAGCCAGTGGACGTAAGAACACTTTGAAAACATGACGTGCTGTTTGGGGTGAGGTGTTATTGTGCCAGGTCATACAGGAGAAGGTCTGGTGAGTAAGAGCCAAGTGCTAAGTGCTCAAGAGAGCCTTGGTCGAAAACGTGTCGTATGTCAGAGACAGTCCCATTTTCCCGTGAAGAGGTTGACTCGTCTCCTGCCAAGGAAGTCAGACTGCATTGGTTGGTGGATTTTTATCCTGCCTTGTTCCAAAAATGACTTAAGGTGGCTGGGGTGCGATAAAGGGAACTTCTGCGTTGGATAAGGCATGGATCAAGCATTCAATTCTGCATTCATTTAGACCCCCAGTAAGTATTAATTGAGCACCTAGTATGTACCAGGTCCTGGGGCTGTGAAGTGGTTTCTGCTCTATAAACCGGCCCCTGGTCTCAAAGACAAGACAGACAAGAAACAGATGAATCATAATATAGCAGGGTGAATGCTGTGAGGCGTGGGGTTTGGGCAGCACGGAGAAGAGGATTAACTCGGTGTCAATAGGGGAGGGGAAGGAGGCTCAGGGATGGACAGGGGTGGCCGGCAGATGGTGCCTGGGCTGGGTCAGGAAGGACGAGGGGGACTTTACGGTGAAGAGGTGCCCAGGCAGGGGCAGGAAGTAGACGATGTCACACACGTCATAAGTAACCTGAATCATTTGATGCACTGAATGTTGTATCTCTCTGAGGGCCTCAGTTTCCTCATCTGTAAAATGGGAATTATGATAGTACACACCGCATAGGATTATTGTGAGAATTAAATGGGTCAATGTAAGTAAAGCACTTACACCACCAAGTGGCACAGCAAAAGCCCAATGAATATTAGCTATGATTTTGCTGTTCCTTGTTCTTGTTATCGATCACCGTTCTATTACTGTGTGTGCCAGGCACTGCGCTGGGTCCTGGGAGGCAGAGGCGCACGATCCCGTCTGAGCCCTCGAGGGTTCACAGTCCGGCTGTGGTGTGAGGCTCGCTCACGGCGCAGCAATGGTGCCACACCCTCCAGCGGTGCTTGCTTGCTGTACGCGGCTCTAAGCGCCTTACACAATGTTTGTACAAACTTTTTATTAAAATGTTATACATATTAAAAAAGTCTACAGCCCGGCCGGGCGTGGCTCAGCGGTTGAGCATTGACCTAGGATCCAGGCGACCGGGGTTCGATTCCCGGCCAGGGCACATGCCCGGGTTGCGGGCTCGATCAATGATTCTCTCATCATTGATGTTTCTATCTCTGTCTCTCCCTCTCCTTTCCTCTCTCTGAAATCAATAAAGATATATTTTTTAAAAATAAAAATTAAAAAATAAAAAAAAATTAAAAAGTCTACAAATCATAAATATTTAACATCTATTATTAATCTTTACAATAACTCTCTAAGGTAGGTTCTATTTCTTTTTAGGTGGAAGCCTTTAACATCTTATTTTTAACTGTGGCAAAATACAGAGAACATACAATTTACCACCTTGCCCATTTTTAGTGTGCAGTTCAGCTGTAAGCACATTCACATTCAGTCTCCAGAGCTGTTATCACCCTGCAAGTAGAGCTCTGTCCTCCACGGCCAACTCTCCATCGCCGCCTCACTCCGGCCCGGAGCCACCTTTATGCTCGCTGTCCCTAGGAATGTGCCCACACTGGGTACCTCACAGGGGTGGAATCACAGAGCATTTGTCTTCCTGTGACCGGCTTGTTTCACTCAGCATGATGTCTTCAGGGTCCATGGTGCTGTGGCACGTGTCAGAATTCCCTTCCTGTTTAAAGGCTGAATGACACTCCATTGTACACATGCACCACATTTTATTTATCCGCCCATCTGAGGACGGACACTTGAGTCGCTTCCACACTTTGCCTACTGTGAGTAACGCTGCTGTGAACGTGGGTGTATAAACATCTTTTTGAAACCCTGCTTTCAATTATTTTGGATACATACCTAGAAGTGAAATTGCTGGATTGTACGACAATTCTGTTTTTAATTTTTCAAGGAACCACTGTACTGTTTTCCACAGTGGCAGCCTCATTGCCCACCCCCGTGATCACGCAGGAGGGTTTCGGTCTCTTCACACCCCCCAATACCGGTTACTTTCTGTTTATGTTGATAGAAGCCGTTCTAATAGGTGTGAGGTGCTGTCTTACTCGTTTCCCTAATGATTAGTGATGTGGAGCGTCTTTGCATGGGCTTAATGACCATTTGTACATCTCTGGAGAAGTGTCCATTCAAGTCCCTTGCCCATCTTTCAATCAAATTTTTGTTGTTGTTAAGTGGTAGACATCCTTTAGATACTCTGGATATTAACTCCTGTCAGATATATGATTTGTAAAGATTTTCTCCTATTATAGTCTACTTGAAGGTAGACTCTATTTTTAATCTCTACTTAATAATTGAGCTAACTAAGGCACAAATAGGGGAAGTAATGGGCCCAGGGTTACACAGCAGTAAAGCTACGGATATAATGAGGCTAATCCCAGCTACTTCCCCCAGGAGGCGGTGGTGGCCCAGGCCCCGGAGCAGCGCAGGGTAAATAAACATTTGTTGGCTGCGTGAAGGAAGGAGAGGAGAGGGGTTTTCCCTGCAGTCAAGTTCCTGTCGGGTCAGGCCCCTGGATCTGGTCTGGCCGCTGACATGTCCATCCGTCCTGGGAAACTCAGGTGAACCGCCTCGCCTTTCTGCTCTCAGCTTCCTTGTCTGTAGTGGGTGAGTTCTGCACCCCACCTTCCTGGCAAGTGTGTTCTGAGGCTCTAAATAGATTATACCAATGTGAAGTGATTTGTAGCAAGAGAAATATGCGCAACAAATCTTCAGCATCAGAAGCTAGTTAACCTGAGTGGCATTTTGTTGGGTTAGGGAGCAGCTTACTCCTCCTGAAATCCTGGAATCCCCCTCTTCTCCTCTTGGGCAGGAAGCACTCTGGCTTTACAAAGTACCCCTCCTCCATCCCACCCTCAGAGTGGGTTCCTCTTCAGCCCAGGCTCCTGGGGTCAAGGCGCACAGCCGTCCCAGAGGGGGATGAAGGGGCCCTGGGGTGCTTATGCAAAGGCTCAGAGCCTCCTGCACACAGAGGGACCCCAGGCCAGCTTTTGCCTCCCAGGCACAGTGCACCCCCAGCTTCACGGGCAGGAGAGGGGGGAAGGGGCATGGGCAGCAGGAGAGAAACTGGCTCTTAGCACCATGTCCCTGCAAAGTCCAACCACCCACAAAACAACAAGCAATCATGGAATTACTGCACCTTTCATTACTAAAGTCCAGCAGCAGGACAGGTGTTCTTAACCTTTTAGGGGTCTTTGGACCCTCTTGAGAACCTGCTGGAAGCCACGGAGGATTGTGCTTATGGGCACACTCAAAATAATGCACTCACTTCAGTTGCATTTAGAGATGCACAGACGCCACAATGTAGATTAGCAACAGTGGGGACTCAGGAGGGGGTGTCCTGGTCACCAAGCTGGGAGATGCCAGCAGCCCAGAGAAGGAGTCCTCACCATCTCTCTTCCTGGTTTCTCCTGCTGGGCACCGCTGCCCGGAAAAAGCCTTCCTCTTCCCCGCCACACCCCACGCCCCATCAGAAATGTTCATTCTGCTGTGATTGCCCCATTCACCTGGTTAGGAAACCTGAGGCTGTAGCAACCCTGGAAGGGAGCAGCTGCCTCTGAATGGCCCGAGGCCTCGGCAGCTGGCCAAGTGCAGCCGCTATAAAAGGGAGCGCCACTCAGCCCTGGTATCCTGTCAACTCTGTCAACTGTCAGCTCGGTTTCAGGAAGACCTGGTGAGTGGGACTGCCCTGGCCTGCCCCAAGCTTCTGGCTTCCCCAGGGGAGGGCTGGGGACTCGGCAGCCTTCTCCGAGAGAGGGGAGAGAAAGCTCAGGGAGGTCTGGACCAAGGTCCGGGCCTCCTGGGGGAGTGGAGTGACAGGGACAACGAAGAAGTCAGTCCTCTAGCATTTATGGGTGAGGGCACACTCATCTCCTAAGCTGGGCTTCTCTTGGGCAGAGGGTGAGGGCATGGAGAGAGTTGGCAGGCACTGTGTGTGTGTGTGTGTGTGTGTGTGTGTGTGCCTACCCCCTCCCACACTCTTATCCATGTCACCCCACCCCGTCTCATCATGGCTATAGCCATCCTCTGGGTTTGGTTATTTGGATGGCACAGGCCAGGACAAAGCCATTACTTGGCTTATGAGCCTTCTGAGTGTCCCCTTAGTCTTCACTCAGCTGTGGGCAGAGGCGTCATCCCCACCCATGTGCTCCCCCTTCCAGGTGAGACAAATCCTCGGGCACCATGCTGACGGAAATGGAAAACACCTTGAACAACTTCATTGAAATCTACCACAAGTACTCCCTGGCGCAAGGGAGCCCCCACGCCCTCTACAGGGATGACTTGAAGAAGCTGCTAGAGGCCGAGTGCCCTCAGTACATGAAGGTGAGGGGGGCTGGGCGTGGTCCAGCTCTCTGCCTGGCTCTGATGACGTCCCGGGGCCATTGGTCCCCCTGCTGCCCCAGGTAAATGGCCATTCTTCAGCTTTCACTGAGATCCTGCCCCTCTGCTTCTCTCTCCCCAATCTGCACAGAAAAAAGATGCCAACACCTGGTTCAGGGAGCTGGATATCAATAAAGATAATGCGATCAACTTCGAGGAGTTCCTGATAATGGTGATCAAGATGGGCGTGGAGGCCCACGAAGACATCCACAAGGAGTAGCAGGGCTGCTGGCCCGGGGCTGGGCCCCGAACAGTAATAAATTGGTTGATACCTCAGACCTCTCTTGTCTCTTGCTTTCCTCCGACAGAATGAGGTTCCTGGGGGTGGAGGGGGGGTTGGAAAATCCACAGGAAAAAAACAATCCTCTGTTGTCCCCCACTCCCTATGTCCCACGAACTTTCGGTTCTTACCATTTGTCTGGTTTCCTCTCGGCCCCCCCTTATCACTCGTCCGTGTTCCTCCTAAACTGTTTCTGAGTCTCTTCTAGTGGGGCCCTGAGTCACTGGCTGTAGGACTTAAGGATTCTAAAAAGTCCATGACACTACAGGGTGATGGAAGGGAAACCACTGTTCTCAAAACTAAATTTTATTTTCCAGCTAAATGTCTTAGATGAGACTCTTGGGAAATGAGGGAGATACCTGGGTAGGTGTGTGAGGGGGGAGAAAGAAACGGATTCTGTGTGGTGTGACAGGAGGTGGGTGTTAAGAATCTCACCGTAAGTAACACGAATAGCCTCAGGCCCAGATTTTGGGAATTTTCCTTTTCTCTTGACTTCCAATCTCCCAACTCAATTAAAAAATAAAGGAAGGGGCAGACAGGCCAGTACATTAAAACTCAACTCAACAAACAGGCTGCTCAAATGCTGCCCTGTGGGGCGAACGCTCTGGTGATCAAGGAGACATCAAAGAGCTTGGTGAATGGGAATTTCAGAACACAGCCGCAGCTGGGTTTCTTGCTGTACCTTGGGAAATGTTCTGTTGTCCCCACTGGGTGATGAGGCTGAGGTGTTGGTGATGGAGAAGGGGGTAGGGAGCTGTCACCAGAATCTCTAAACCAGGGTTTTCAACTTAGTCTACTACACATCTCTAAATGGAACTGAAGCGAGTGCATAATTTTATGTGTGTGTGGGGGGGAGTGAGATGTGGGAGGGGGAGATTTAGCATTATCAATTCCATTTGCCAATGAGTCTGCTGGGAGGGGCAGACTCATCACTCGGAGGGGCTATGGGAAGGGGACCCAGAGGGCCCTTTGGAGTTTCCCTGTAAGAGATGGGCACTGGCTGTGAAGAATTACATTACCTTGAGCTCTGGACAGTTGACACCTGAGCTCATGAAGAAGCCAGAAGTGCTTCCTGTCCAAGAGGAGAAGAGGAGGGTGGCTGACTCCCCAGGATTTCAGGAGGAGTAAACTGCTCCCTAACCCAACAACATGCCACTCAGATTAACTGGCTTCCAGCCCTGAAGATTACTCAACCCTGGTTACTGGGATTGTTACTCGTAGTAGACTTTAATCAAATGAGATGCAAATGAGCAGGGAAAGGTAGCAGCTGACACCTTTATTCACCACCCAAGGCTTTAATTACCAGCCAGTCTTATTAGCTAACAAGTTAGTGACAGCGGTTGGCAGCCAGCGGAGAATTAAGACTGGGACCTGAGATGAGGGGGTCTAGTTATCAAACAGGAAGGGGGCTCCTGCTGGGCAAGGGGGAGGCTCAGGGCTAAAATCGCTTCCCTCTCAGTTCTCCTGAAGGAGAGCTTTATCCACCCCCCAAAGTGAGGCCGCCACCTAAGTCAGGAGTGTGGGTGCGCCCTCTGATCGCAGAAAGGGGTGTCACGCAGGTCGGAGAGGGGCCTGAAAGGTGAGCTGCTGCCCAGATGTGGCCCAGTCAAAAAAAGACCAGAAACGCCTGCGGGGCTCACCAGGCCTCACTCAACCTTTAGAAAGTATGATGAAGAATGCACAAAGGCAGAGCAACCTCTGTTGTCCACACTGGTGAGGGAAGTGTGTGCGTGAGCGTGTGTGTGTGTGTGTGTGTGTGTCGGAGTGGGCCCGGGGGCCACAAATCCCAGTGCCTTTGATTGCCCTTGAAATGCTCTATTGGACTTGCTGTCAATGGATTCCTCAGGGGAGATTTACCATTATTGGTTCTGTGTGCCGACGAGTCTGCTGACCTTGAGCCCACTCAGAGACCGTGGGGGGGGTGACCCATAGGGTCCTCTGGGGTTTCCCTGTAAGTGCTGGGCACTGGTTGTAGAAGAATTGCATTGACCTCGAGCTCTCAACTGTTGATACCCGAGCTCGTGGTTGGGCAGGGCAGGTGACCCCACCGTCACTGGCTGCCTGGACAAAGAGGTGGAGGCGAGGGGGGCATCACCGGAAGGTCCATGGAGGAGGCAGCTTGGAGACTCTGGTTTACAAACAGGACTGTGCTCATCGCAGGAACCCCTGTGCAGAGTCAACAGGCTGGTGGCCCAGGGCAGGTTGATTTGGTTTCCTGTTTCCCCAGCTACAAATGAGAACAAGTTGAGAAATATGTTGTTTAGCAGGAAACTTCATGCAACGTTTGGGCCCACAAAGGAGACCTTGGCAGATTGAGGCAGATCCGGCCACTGAGATTTCCGGGGCCCTTGAGGATGACCTGTCCGAAATCCTGCTTGTTCACCCTGGTTCTCCACCCAAGGCCCCTGACTTCAGCCAGGATCCTCACAGTGGTGACAAAAACCCTAAAGACATGGAGAAGCTCTGGAATTGGGCAATTGGTGTCTAGCAGTTGAACAAATGAGCTTATTCCTGTGGAAAGGACTTTCCCATACATTCCTCCACCTGGGAGCCAGACCATTCTGTTGGGGTCCAGATACCAGCCTATCTCCCGGCCTCCTGACCTGGGGAATTCAGTCTAAATTCAAATGGGCTAAAGAGGGGACGGAAAGCTACCAACACTTACTGGGTGTCGGTGTGAAAGGAAAAGATCATCTCAGACCTGGAAAAAGACAAAATGGTGATTGCTTACACCTTCGACCTCATGCTAGAGTCAGTCTGAATAGAAGCAAGTTCAGCTACTTGTTGATCTTTCATCATTGGACACTTTTGGGACATGTCAAAGGTCAGCACAGTATATTGGACTAACAAGGCCCGATGGATAAAGTCAGTTTATGTGCTTGATGGAGTAATATGATTGAGTAAGCTGGCAGAGATGGTAAATCCCTAACTGTCAGGGTTTTTATCACTCTGTTTAAAGTTAAGAGATTCTTATATCTCACTTAGCAGTCTTACTTAGGCATTCCTTTTCTGGCTGTCTTTATATATTCTCAAATATTCTTCAAACCAGCTTTAAAAACAAACTTCTTTGCCATTAATGAATTAAAATAAGAATTTTGGGCCCATCATATTTGTTGATAATTGTGCTTCTCAGCACTAGATTTTGTGACAGTTTACCTCATTTATTTTTTGTAACAACCCTAAAAGAGGTCATTACTATTTCTGTTTTGTATATGAAGAGATTTGGAAAGGTTAAGATAAAATTGACTAAGCTGGCAAATGGCAGAGGGAAGGTCAGATCCCCAGCTGTCTCCAGGCAAGAAACCTAGGTTAAGGCGGGACACTAAAGCCCTCTTTTGTAGCCGGCTTCCATCCTGTGTGTGCACGGAGGCCCTTCCTCTGCTGGCCTTGTAGTCCTCACCTCCTGCATGGTCTCAGCCATCCAAGCGTATAAAGCAAAGCACAACAGGTGCCAGAATGAGTTTCTCTCTTGGGCCTCTCTCACCAGGCACAGCCCAGGGCCTGAACTGCTGTTTTTGGGTTTTTTTCCTGGTGTGAGCAATCCTCTAGACAATAGAACAAGAAGATTGACATTTGATTTCCCTAACCTCTTAGGTGTTGTTCCAGTAATAACTTCCTCTCCCTTCTCGGCTGGGGAGACTTCCTTTCGGTCTTAGGAGCTCTAGAAGTTTTCATGTAAACAATTCTCTGATTTGCAAAATCACGGTCTGAGCTGGCTGCTAAGGCCAGGACATAGACATTTAGCAACTCTTTCAAACCTTCTGACCCAAACCTCTTTCAGGGGACAGTAGCCTCGGCCTCTGGCTGCTGAACAGGCCTAGTTAGCAGCAGAAAGCATGGAACTGTCCTGCAGCCAAAGCCCACCCAGAGGCTCCTCATCAGCCCAGCGCAGCCCAGCCCAGCCCAACAAGGGCTCCATCCAGTTCAGCTTGTTCAGCATCTTCCTTTGCTCTAGCACATTTCCCCCCTGTGCTCTCTAGAGCAAAGTATTTAACGAAAATAGGATACTCTGGATTTCTTTCCTACTTTTGTCCTAGACCATTCATGAGGTGTATCTGTTAAGATTTAACCGTAAATATCACACTTAATGAAGAAAAGGTAGACATTTCTCTGTAATGACAGGAAGAAGACAGGGTGCCCCCATTACCACTTCTATTTAATATTTGTATTGGAGGCCCTAACCAATGTTATAAGACCAGAATAAATAAATGAGAAGTAATGGGAGCTTTGGGGACTCTGGCCACATGAAGTAAATGGAAACCCTGCAGGGCATTCCCAGTTCTGTATTTCATTGCCTCCTTCATTTCTCCCTTGTGAATAACAGCTATTCTTCCTAATATTTTAGAAATGCGCCCCAGCCAAATTGGACTTGGTTCTTCCCATGAGGATACTAATGTCATTACTTAAAAACACACTGACTTGTTGGTATCTCTTATTTTTCTCTGTGGGCTGAATGGCCTTGTCATAGCCTGCACCTGGATACCAGGCTTGGAGCAGGAACGATGCTGCCATAATCTCAGATGTGGAGAAATCAGCTACTTGGAGACCTGTCCTCTAAGAAAAGGTTCAGAAATTTAGAAATTCACAGTCTGAAGTAGGGACCTCAAAAAATCATTTCTCCTGCACTTGCCTTTTCTGATATATATTCTGGGTCTCACAGAGAGTTAACTTTTCAACAAATTCAAAAAGTGCTTTATTTGCCTTCTTTTTCTTCCAGAATATTCTGCCAACCACTCTGCACTATCCAAAGGTTTGGGGGTATCATGTAGGACTCCTTCAAGTCCAGTCCACCCCAGCACTGACATTGGATAGTCAACACATCCATCTCCATAAACCAAACTTTTGACAAAATTACAGCTACTGCCTCAAAGCAACTGGCTCCAGTTCCAGGGAAATCAACTGATCTGTGAGACAGATGGGAATCTTCCAAGAAGCCCTCA